GTGGGAAAATACCCGAACAAAGCTGAATGCCATACATGTAAGTACCCACGAAAACTTAAGAAAACAAATATATATACATATATACATTTTGCAGAAGGTATTGAGCATTGGTTACATTTTTCTTTTCTTTTTTTTTCTTTTACCCCATAACATTGACATGATCTACCTTGCTACAATACCTTCCTCGTTCTTTTAATGTTTTAATTTCACAGAATACTTTATGATTAAACGCACGTCCTTCATAGTTTCATAACTTGTTCAGTTGTCAAATGTTGCTTTTTCTTTAACCATTCGTACCAACAGTTCCAAACTTTGTAGTATGCACTATCTTTGTTTTTGTTTTTTTAGTAATTCGGTTAGGCTTTTGCACACTCGTGAACTTTTTTTAATGACCATCTCCTCTGAAGGGACAATAGAGAGTTTCCAATTTGTTTTTTAAGAACCCCCACCTACCAAGAATTCCAAATGTTTAAATTAAAAAAAAAACGATATCTTGTGGGATTCTCATACCATTAGGTTTCTCAAGAGATGCTGAGGTATTATGAGATACAATAGTTACCTCGGTACTTGTCAGTAATTCATCCCAAAAGATACGAACAAACACTAAATCTGACAAGTACCGAGAAAAACCACATGACTTACTTCAACAAGAAGTCAATATTTAATGAGCAAGACAGAGAAACAGAATGAACATGGGCTGGAAAATAAGAGTGGGAGTGACTTCCGACTTCCCGCTGGTTTCCCCACTGGCTTTCCTTGTGGGGAAGATGGCAAGGGAGCCCTGGAAATCAGGATTATTGACCGTGAGGATGCTGCAATGATTTTGTGAATAAAAGCATAAAAGAAATGCCATGGAAGTACAGAGAAAGACAGGAAAACTCAGCAAGCTACTGCTTTTCCTCACAACTGAGCTCCTACAACCTACGTACTAGATACAAAGAACATAGAATAACAGATTCAGAAGGGACCTTGGAGGTCTTCTAGTCCAACCCTAGGCTCAACAGGAGACCCCATACCACTTCAGACAGTTGGGTGTCCAGTTTCTTCTTGAAAACCTCCAGTGATGGAGCACCCACAACTTCTGAAGGGAAGCTGCTCCATTAGTTAATTGTCCTCACTGATAAGATGTTTCTCCTTAATTCCAGGTTGCTTCTCACCTGGATGAGTTTCCATCCATTGTACCTTGTCTTGCCTTCTGGTGCTTTTGTCTCTTGTCTTCTGCCCGACCAAAAAGAACCAGAAGGCAAAACAAGACATGTCCAAGGTGGAGAAGTAATTTACAGATATATGACCTTAGGTATGGTGGTACCCAATGTTTCTGAATGCTTAACGTGAACTTGGAAGCCATATTTTTCTTAGAAGCTCTGAGGCTGCCACATGTAGTGCCTGGGAATTTGGGAGGGAGGGTTTCATAAAGAAGATTAGATACAACAACTCTTTCTCAGAGAGTCAAGGACAAGTTGCCCTGCACCTGGAGAGGAGTGTCTGGAGGAATGTCTCCAGCTGGGACGATGGTTAATTGGGCCATGTGATGGACTGATGGGTGCAGGGGATGGAACTTGGATTTCTCCTTTGGGAAAGGAAAACCCAGAGCTCTCCGATTCGGGTTTTCCCAGATGTGCCAATATGACTTCTTCAATAAATTCTTACTTGGATGAACTTTGCTTCTGAGTGCTGAATAAGAATGGGAGGTTTAATTGGAACGCTGGCACCTGGTTCATTCTAAAGGATCAAGGAAGCCAAGATTTCTGCTAAAGGCACAGAGTCCTCCAGAGCAAGGGGCTTTTCAAACTTGGCCAAGTTTAAGACTTGTGGACTTCAACTCTCAGAATTCCTGAGCTGAC